ACTCACACACACACACACACACACACACACACACACACACACACACACACACTGATCGGTGTGCCTCTGTTCATTAAAAACTAAATACCAGCAGTGTCCTAAAGGCAATAATTATAATAGGCAGATTCAGGTGATATTTTTGGATGCAAATCTACAGGAAAGTGAGTGAGAAAGTGATGGATGAGCACACAGTCACACTTATCTTGAACAAGACCGCTTGTGATTAATAGAGGTGTGGAACAGAAGAAAAACTCTCCTGGGGCATTAGTCATGATAAACACCCATGATTCAACTTGATACTTACTGTCCTTTCTCTTACCTCCATTCACTGGCATGGAAACAACATCACTGAAGCTCTTACAATAATTATTCAAACAAATCAGTATTTGAAAAATGTGTGCAGAAATTAGCTCTAGTTTGTCCCTCGAGGAAGGTTTGTTCTTGTGAAAAAACTAATTTAACTAATTTTTTTTGACAATGACAAGTTTACATTTTCATCTAATCCTTGTGTATGGTATGGATAAAAAGACATGGTTTTCTGGCAAAAATGAAGGGATAAAACCAAAGACTTGATGCAAGATCGCTCTGGACTAATTCATTAATACGTTAATAATAGAAATAGTTCACATGAAAATGAAAATAGGGCATTGTCTGCTCACCCTCCAAACCTGTGTGCAATAAGAGAAATTCTGAAGAATCTTTAAACTGCTCTTTTACAACAGATCATAATAACCATGACTCCCAGACAGGATTTTAAAAAACCCACCAAAAATTAGGGGTGGGTGATGCGGCAAAAATATAATTTCATGATTTTTATAGACTTACAAACAGAGCCGATCCTCCCTATACGCAAAATACGCAAGCTGCGTAGGGCCCCCGAAACACCAGGGGGCCCCCTTGCTCTCAAAGATGATTTAATTTTAGTTTCATTTTTGAATTTGGCCAGCGGTTATGAAAACATGAATGATCATTTCTTTTAATGCGGTGCGCTGTCGCCCTTTCTATGTAAAAATCAGTCAAATCATGTAATGTGAATGTCGTAGTCTTGCGCGAGACTAAAAATACGAGTTGAAAGCGTACCGAGCCACGGAAGAGACACTGTTTCCCAAGCGCTTTCCGTGAGCGCCATTCAAGACAAAAGCGTTTCATTCATTCGTTCATAACCACTCATAACCCACAACACCGCCCCCCGCCAACACAGTTCCCTTTCATGGGAACTTCGAACTGCGTCCTCTCGGGGTCGCTATGGGGAACGC